ACGTCATATCTAAAAGTGTTACAATAGGTTTATCTGACGCTTTTGGACATTTTAACAAGTTTTTTAGAACGTTTTTAAAAATAACGTGTCGTATTAGTTGTTTTATAGGTAAACACATCGTTTTATGACATTTATGTTTATATGACACTTTTTTCAAACTATGTCATATTTATAAGATAACTAGTAGGACAATTTATTTTAAAATGTCCTAAAAACTTGCTTAAATGCCTAAAGGCATCATATTAACCTATTATTACACTTTTAGATATGACGTATTTTAGTTTGTTCCTATAAACTTAAGTCCTATAAAGTCTTTTATTAGGACGTTGAAACATTTGTAAACATTCTATAAAACAAGTCTTATTCTAGGGGTTCTTAACCAAAATGGCCTTCTAAAAAAAAATTAGAAAAATAACCCAAAATTACATTTTTTTTTTCATAAAAGACCACCCAATCCTCATTCCTCGGCTTCTAACATGTAAAGGCCCACCAAAATACAAGAAAATTTGAAAAAGTTGTGTTTAGTTTGACAAAAAGACTTTATGATGTGACAAAACAAAAAAGTTACGCTGGCATTGACGTGCGCCTTGTCGTGTAAAGGCCCACCCGGGCATCCCCCCACATGACCTGAATTCCTTTTCTCATTTCCAACATTTTTTTCTATCCAATACACTACATTGACTCTTATTTTGACTTTTTTTTTACTTCAGACCCTATATATATATATATATATACATATATATCTGATTTTCATTTACCATCACCAATATGTTCTCTTCCGATTTTTACATCCAAAATAAAATTATCATCTGTTCAAGAATCAATATCAACGTCCATTGAGAAAGTTCAAGTATGTGTTTTTAGTGGAGGTTCATGGTTAGTTAACGGGATGGTAATTATATTCAAGAAACTCAAAAAGTGATTGTCTTGTTGTTGATACAATTAACATTTTCAGGTATGATCAATTATTTAGCGAGAAAATTAAACTTACCAGATTAACAAAATCGTTTTAAGTTAACGTATAAATTTCCGTCATCTGGTGCAATTGTCAAGTTATTTAACATCGATAATGTGAAAGATTTTCTAACTATTGATGTGGAAATTTCACGAAAAGCCCTTAGATTGTATGTTCGTGAACATGGTGCTGAAAGCAATCAACCGAACCAAAGCCAAGAGATTGTTCTAGTCACTGTGTAGGTTGGACCACCCCCAATAGATACTTCTACTCGTTCTGTATGACCTGAACCAAATGCAAGAGACAATTTCAAATACTTCATGTGAGTCGGGTCATGGCGAAAACATACTTCCACTCATTCCATACCAGTTGTTCCAAAGTGATGAGGCAGCTCCGGGTACTCCATATCAATCATACCAAACTCAATATCAACTGTTTCAAACTCCATATTTGAAGCGTACCAATCTCAGTATCATCTGTTTCAAGGCCAGGGGACGTACGAAACTCTATATTAGTCGTACCAAACTCCATATAAGTCGTACGAAAATCTCCCCATATATCAATACTAAGATCTACCATCTGATTATAGCATTCATATTCTGACATTCCTACCGAAGAATATGAGGCCAATTTATATCATAGTGAAAATGCATCTGAGAAATAAAAACTTGATTTAAATCCTTATTATAAGTATGTTTTTAGGTATTGTTTGTACCATCCCAATACAAATGAATATTTTGGGTTACAATCAAATAGTAGTGATAGTGAACCGGATGAGGAAGATAAAGAAGAGTCGGATGGGGAAGATAAAGAAGGGTCGGAGGAGGAAAATAAAGAAGGTGTTGATAGGGGTAATATTAGTGGTCTGATAGGTTGTAATTTATTTTAGGGCATGCCTCCCCCATTACCAGTGTAGTTGATAAGCATGGTTTATTACATGTTTAAAGTACCCATTTCTTATGTTTAATAGGTAGATTTTCCTAGTTTATCCCAACCTTGAGTCATTTTTACTTCCTTATTTTCCATTTGTTATGTTTGGAGCTAAATATGATGATGAATTTGTTTTTACAACAATTTGGAGTAGAYGACATCTTTTGACATATAACACTGCACTATAATGCTGCAGCATTCCAACAGCATTGCGCGGATCCATTTTATCTTTTTGGAGAATTGCTTATTAGTTAAGCCATTGTCATGGAAGGAGGTCTGAGCTGAAGAAGCCCTCGTTTTGGCCCTCAACCAGCTGGTGAAATGAGGTGGAGATGACTTTTTGTTGACATGTTATGATGGAGATGATACCTTCTTTTTCTAGTCCACTCATGTGTACTTTTTACCTCTTTTCCATGTTTTTGTCTTATGTTAACTCTTGGGTATAAAAGAAAGCCTTAGGCTTCTCTTTTGATATCATCCCCTGGACAAATTTGGTTCCAATTTTTACTCCCAAAAACACTCTCAACTTATTAGTAGTATTTACAAGCTTTTAATTATTGTTCTTTACATTTTGTCTTTTATTTATTTATTTATTTATTTATCGTCATTTACTTTCCATATTTGCTTTCCGTCTTTACTTTCTGTCATTTACTTTCAGCTATTTACATTCATGTCTTTATTTTATGTCATTTATTTATGTCATTTACTTTCCGTAATGAGTAGCTATTTTCATTAGTTCGGGTGTAGGGTAAAGGGTGAAATGTTAAACCGAATGAAAGTGGACGTTGTTTCGCAATAACAATGTTCCACTATTTCATTCAAGTTTTATAAAACCAAGCACACTTCTTGACGAGTTGATCACTTTGAAAGTGTTAAAGTGCAATGGACTTAGAGATAACCCCTTATAAGCACGCCAGCTTGAATGATATGAGAGGTAGACTTGAGAAAGTTGCCGACAAGGAGACTTGTCATTTATGTTTTTCAACTTAGCTCCCGACGGGTTGGTCACTTTCTAAAAGTGTCAAAGTGTGATGGATTCAGAGATAAACTATCAAGAACACGCCAACTTGAATGATATGGGAATCGGCTCGARAGAGTGATTTTTAACAAAGAAATTTGTTTAGCCATATATCTTGAAGACACCATTTTGTCACTATCCCTGGTCCGAACACCACATAGAGATATGGGTGCAAAGCTATAATATAGTTCAAAGGTGAAGTCCGAGAGGAATACCTTCAAGATAAATGGTGGGACTGGTTCTTCCACAGCTTTGTCTGCTGGATTTCGTGTTTACGTTTCACCCCAAAATCTTACACCCGTGCTACCTTT